TCCCCTCCAGACGGTTTCTAGCTGGTACACTCATTTTTGCAATGTTTCCCATGGGAATGCTCTCACATAGCTCTGCCCTTCTGGGATGAACAGAAATTCACATTATTAGTGGGAAACCGTTTTTTAAATTTTGTCAGCCTCTTTTAGAGCAAGCTTCTTGCCTTGCAGCAAAATTAAACTATGCAAGCAGGGGGAAATGTCATCTTACAGTTTTTACTAGACGTCTACAGTGCGTAACTTACTGTTACTTTGAGTCATTAAGGAACAAATGCTGAATCCACAAGCTTCTTGGGTTTGTTTTCTTTTGGGGGTGGGGTGGGGGCTGTCCTTCTTATGACACACTTTTATTTTCAGTCTGCCTTCTCCCACAAGGACTCAGAAATAGTTATTGTATGAAACTCTAGAAGGTGTCCAGAGAAGGGCAATGGCGAGGGGCTTGGTGACCAAGTTCTATGAGGAAAGGGTATGGTTGCACTTGAGAAGAGACAATTTAGAGGTGATATGATAGCCATCTCCAAATATTTGAACGGCTTCCACATAGATGATGGAGCATACTTGTTTGTGGTTGCTTGAGAGCAGTGCTCTTCAACTTTGGGTCCCTGGATGTTGTCAGGACTCCAAGGCCCTTCATCCTCATCTAGCTTAAGGTAAAGGTAAAGGATGATGGAAGCAAAGGCACAGGTAAAGAATTACAGATAAGATCAACCTTTGCCAACCAGGCATCCTCTGGTGGTTTTGGACTACAACTCCCATCATGCCCTGCCTGGTTAGTACAGTTGCACCATGCAGGTCTACATCATTGCAGAAGCGTCCCCCATCGGTTTTAGCTTGATGATTGAGGGAGAATGTGTTCTCCTGACGTATTGGCAAAGAAGAATATACTGATATGTGAAGTAGTCAAGGGAAATGTCCAAGGCCATTTAATGTGTGGCAATCCCCTAAACAGACATTGTACACAAAGATCCCCATCTATAAGTAGCAGAAGTGGGTTCTGTATTGTTCCTGTTTCCCTTCCAATGGACCGAGGACTTTGTAAACATCATCACCTGTGTCAGCTCCAAGCTGTGGCTTGCATTAGCAAAGTAAACGCTAGACGACATGAAAAGCGTCAAGCTCTTGCAATCTGGCTCTGCTCAGGGGACAAATTGAAGGAGAGGATTTGGGGTCACAGTGACAGGGTCCAACATCTCATATATTAACTGATAACTTGTACGCACATCTAGACTCTGCATGTATAACCAGAATTCCTGCAGAAAGGTGGGTGTGCAATCACATACTAACCAACAGTCCTACTTGGAGTGGGACACTCCAGATTTACAGAAGCAGCCCGGCTTCTATTTGACATCCCGGATGTTCTGCTTCAGCCATCTTGCCTCTTCTGTGGTAGCCTGGTGTCCGCCGCCATAGCCTCTGCAGCCTCCATACAACCAGAAGTGGGTGCAGCATATTTCCAGAGTGGGATCACTGCTTCTGGTGGGCACGGTGAGGCCACAGGGGCCGCAAGAAGGCTGAGGCCTAGCTGCCACCGTGGCAGTGGAGGAGAGAAAGACAGAGAATATAAGGCGGTCCAGTTGTGGGCGACATGGTGCGGGGTGGGGTGCCCTGGATTTGGGTGAGAATATGTTGGGGGTATGCAATCATGCAGGGGGAGCCTTCGCTTTTACCCACTGTAGGCATGGAGGCTCTTCGGTGACTCTATGGAGGTCAGGGGCAAGATCTGCTTCTGCAATCTCCCTTCACGCATTCTCCCTGGACGTCTGGTTTTGCTATGTCCAAGAGTCTTGCACCAGTTACCAAATGCATCCCATTCCCATGTTCTTTCCCGCATCAGAAGTTGATACTATCAATAAACACGTCCTTCATTTCCTTTTTATTATATTATTCCGTTATATAAAACATAATGGGCCCCTTCAGAGGTTTCTTCTTCTGAACAGGTGTCTTTTCGTGTGTGCTTCTCTCTCCATTATGGCTCAAGTACAGCAGAAATCTCAGACATTAACATGCTACTTTAGAATAAAATGTACACCTGAACTATACACAACATGCTGAGCCTCTGACAGAATAGCTACAGCGTGCACAGATAAATCCAAGACAGATCCAAGTCTGTACCTCTAGACACAGATATGGGACGCTGGGGTGGGAAGTACTGAGCACTCCAGTAGAAAGCTTGAGGAGGAGGAGGTGAAGGCAGAGACTTTAGGGACTCAGCTAGACTGCTAAAGAAAAAGCGATTTATATGCGTTGTATGCGTGATATAACATTGTGCCACCAGATGGCGGCAAGGAGTCCCGTTTTTCTCTACCGGTTTTCCCGGTTTAAATTTACAACGCTTAAAACCGAAACGCTTCTTTGATGTGTCTAGATCCAGCCTAGCTTTTCAGGGAAAGGGTGGTTAAATTATTAGAAAGTACCTGGAAAATTGTTAAATACATACCACCAGTCAATGTTTCTCTTGCTGCTTGATTCACGTAGTATTTTAATTCTGACACTAGAGAGTTAATGGACACTTGGCTCAGCAGGGATGGGGAATCTTGGGGCCATATGTGGTCCTCCGGGACCCTCTATCTGGCCTTTGGGAACAGGTTTGAGTCTTGTAAGACCTGCTCCCTTCCTTGCAGGTTTTCTTCACCTGGCCTGGGAGGGCAGGGCCCTGACTGACTCCAGCTACAAAAACTGAGGTTTCTGAACACAAACTTGGGCTGGGGTTTTTTGTTTTTTTGTTTGAGGGGTTTGTTGCTGTTGGTTTGGCGTATCTTTATTTCATATGCTGTTGTGATTTATGTTCAGTTTGGTTTTGTATTTTTAATGTTTTATTTATTGTTTACGACTACTTTTGTAGCTACATATTTTTTTCATGTTGTAAGCCACCTTGAGCATGGTTTGAACTGTGGAAAAACTATGTAGGTGGCATGGGCGTAGCCAAGATTTATGTTGGGGGGGGCAGATTCTCAGTTTGTTAAGAATATTGTATTGATTTCTTGATTTAGGGAGGCAGCTGACCCCCTGGCTACGCTCATGTTAAGTAGGTAAACACCCTCCCGGCCACACGCCTGCAATGTCTGAAGAAACTAGCCTACTATACAAAAGGTAAAATTGACATCCATTGCTCTGCCCACTTTGCCTCTGGCCTTATCCATGACTGCCATGTAGCTCCCAGAGATTTGCGCAGAAGAGATGTAGCCCTCAGGCTGGAAAAGGTTCTCCAGCTCTGTCTGGACTAGAGCCTGGAGATGACCAAGGGGTCATCTCCAACTACCCCAGAGTTGGCATACACTACTTTTTCCTTCCTTTCACCTCTGCTAAGTCTTCTGCTTTTCTCCCTCACATGTCAATAGCACAGCCCACTCTCAGTTCTTCCAGCTCAAAAGTCTCCTCTGCCCACTCTCCCTCCTTCTTGGAATTGCTAAATCTTATGGCAGCACTTGCAGCCCTGCCAGCGTAAGGCTTCTTCATTAACTTCTGCTCACTTCCTTGTGATGCCTTGGAGACACACTGGAAGCGCAGACTAACCTTCCTCACATTTCATTCACAAGATAATCCACAGTTTTCTTAATGGCCATCCTATTAGCGAACAAAAACAGAGAAACAAATACCACATTAATTGAGAGCGGTATACAGGCGCTGTCAAGCACAGCCCTGGAAGGAGCTTCCTCTAGTGGGCATGAGGTTTTGTTGCTTGTCATTTTCTTTCAAAACTAAAAACCCTTCAGTACCTTTCCCCCCTGCACTTTGATCATTAACAAACAGTGTTTTCTCCCTCCGGCTATGAACAGAGTTAAATTAAATCCTTGCCTCAGGAAAGGCAGACTTCTTGGTTTTGCGTCATACAACAGGCATGGAAGTGAAATCAAAACACTTGTGCCTTGTTGAAGTGGTCATAACTGGGAGTTTGCTTCGTGCCAGTAAATTGTTCGTGTGCAACAACACAGGCTGGGGAATGGCATTGCAGAGGTTTCACCACCTTAATTTTTCCTGAGTTACTTTACCCAGAAGCAGCAAGTGTCTGCATCTCTCGTTTCTCTCTGCAGCTTCTCTCTTATCAGTGTAAAATACAGTTTCGTTTCTTACTAAGTTTGGCTGAAGGATTTGGCTTTTTCGACCTAGGTATGTCTCGAAGTTTTTATGGCACCCGTCTCAAAGGGATGCTCAGGGCAGCTTCCAAGCACATTAAAACGGTCAGTAATTGAAACATCAATAATAAAAAGGAGAAAACCTACAGTTACTTAAAAAGAAGAAGTCCCTATGCACATCCCTAGCTATCAAATGTTTGTGTGAATAGCGATGGCTTACACTATTTGCAAAAGGTGAAAGGTTCAGACATAGATGGGCTTTTACTAAGAGGAAATGTCACAACCAGAGAAGATGAACTCAGAGAGAGTCAGTCAGCCTGTTGCAGGTAAGAACGGCACATTCAGCCTAACATCCCCACGATATCATAAAGGCCTCGTAGGTTTAGATGGGAAGAGGCTTTATACCACCACCACAAATTGTGCCCAGAAATATATTGGCTGAAAGTGCAGATACTGGAGTACTGCTGGTCAGCTCTACTGCAGCTAAGCTTTGGAACATATTCATGACATTCTTCACATTCAATTCACACTTAAGACCCAAGCACAGATTCAGAATCGAGACCTAAGCCTGGCATAGAGACAAGAAGATAGAACACTCGATGTAATTTTCAAACCAATGACCCCACTTAACAAATACATGCATACATTGAACCAGAACAGAGTGCCAAAGCACCCCACAGGAAAGAGATTACAAACATTTAACTATAAGCACCTTCTGTGTTCTTCCTGCCAGGTACAAACAGAACCCCTGCAAGGCAGTCCCATGGATTTGACTTGTTTTAGTTCAAATGACTTCAGTGTCTACACTGCCCTTATTTTAGTATGTATTTTGTGTTTTTTATATTATAATTTTATGTTGTGAACTGCTCTGAGATCCATGGATGAAGGGCTGTATACAAATTTAAAATAAATACATAAATAGATGGATAAGGGCCAGCTTAGCCTAGCGGTTACTTCAAATCTCTCTTTGCAGAATCACCAATTGCTTAATAGCAGTTCGATACTCTGCATGCACTGTCTGGCTTTTAATAAATAAATAAATAGGTGGATAACTTTGGGCACAGCACAACTAAATTGACTAAAATTCAAGCATTCCCACTTATGAGCCAACCCTATATGTACCTACTCAGTAGTAAGTCTCACTGAGTTCAGTAAGGCTTATTCCCAAGTAAGTGAATATAGGATTACAGCCTCAGATGTGTAAGTGTCTGCACAGAAACAGGCACAAGAAAACTCCCATTGCATGTAGAGAGAATAATGGTAGCTGTAGAACCATTTTTACACAGAACTACCTGATCACTACAACGTCTTATCCATTCAATTCCATTTGCCTCCACAGGCTAAGGTCTGGGACATTCTGGATGTGATCAAAAGTGATCAAACCACACCACGTTGGGGTGACTTTTCCATGTCAAAATGGTTATGTTAAGCTCTCCTGAGTGACAGTGTAATGCACATGTCAAAATATAATTAAAAACTGGAAGGCCCATGAGCCCCTTTAATGAGCTTGGTTATAGTAACTGTAATAATTGTCTTATTTAAAGCAGGTGTGTTTCTTAGGTTGAAAGTGATGGCTGGGCGTGATTCTCCAAGGCCATCTTATTCTATTGTGGCGGCAGGGAAAGCCTCATACAGGAACTGTAGGCAGAGGGGCAAGTTATATGAACAAAGCCTCTGAAAGAGAACTTTTATGGCATGTAGCTGCTACCAGCAACCCAAGGGTGAATTATTAGCATTTGATGTTGCAAGTCTTGTCATCGGCATAATAATGCAAATATCTTGACAATGCTGTTTGCTGTCACCGTGTAGCTTTCAGTCCTATCTCCCAAAAGAAAGACTAAATGAACTGAATCTTCCCCAGCCTTCCTCTTCACTGTGCACCCTGAGTAGGCAGGGGCTTAGATCCGACAGGTGACTTCACAAACACCAGGTCTAGCACACATGGACATTGGTTTGAAAACACCCTGCAGACAACATTTTAAAAACTGTCCTATTCCCTTTTTTTGTTCCCGACAGTCTCAAAATCCAGGATTTTCAGTCTGATCTCCCCTCCTGCTTTTAGCTTGTCAGTCCGTGATACAAAGTAGGTCACAGTATATGTTTTATCAGAAAAAGGAAGGAGACCACACAGACAGTCTGTATGAGCACAGATCTCTGTTTAGGGAGTGCTCCGTAGAAATTCTTGTAAGCATAGTGTCCTATGTTTCATAGGAAAGTGTGTAATCCGAGAGAATTATCCATCTGATGCAGAGATTCTTCACTATACGTGGCCACCTTTAGATAGGTAAGCAATCAGTGCTACAATCACTCCAACATACACTCCTGTGCCAATGGTGATAGAGAGCGCAGCAAGGAATAGTGCTCGCCGGGACGCAGAACTTGCCAGGTGAAAGTCTCCCTTGGAGATAGCCTTACTCGTCTGGAAACAAACAATAAATACATTATTTGTATCAATGGACAATAGCCTCAAAGGCTAATAATATCAGCTGTTTTTCAATGAAAAGAGAATGCTTTTGTCTTCCTCAAAACTGTGTGTTAATGTATAATACTCATACTAATACTAATACTAATTTGTTATTTATACCCTGCCCATCTGCTGGGTTTCCCCAGCCACTCTGGATGGCTTCCAACAGAATGTTAAAAATACATTAAAACATTAGTTGTTAAAAACTTCCCTAAACAGGGCTGCCTTCAGATGTCTTCTAAATGTCATATAGTTGTTTATTTATTTGACATCTGATGGGAGGGCGTTCCACAGGGCAGGCGCCACTACCAAAAAGGCCCTCGGCGCTGGACTTCAGTGTCTGGGCTGAACGATGGGGGTGGAGACGCTCCTTCAGGTATACTGGACCGAGGCCGTTTAGGGCTTTAAAGGTCAGCACCAACACTCTGAATTGTGCTCGGAAACGTGCTGGGAGCCAATGTAGGTCTTTCAAGACCGGTGTTATATGGTCTCGGTGGCCGCTCCCAGTCACCAGTCTAGCTGCCGCATTCTGGATTAATTGCAGTTTCCGAGTCACCTTCAAAGGTAGCCCCACGTAGAGCGCATTGCGGTAGTCCAAGCGGGAGATAACTAGAGCATGCACCACTCTGGCAAGACAGTTTGCAGGCAGGTAGGGTCTCAGCCTGCATACCAGATGGAGCTGGTAGACAGCTGCCCTGGACACAGAATTGACCTGCGCCTCCATGGACAGCTGTGAGTCCAAAATGACTCCCTGGCTGCACACCTGGTCCTTCAGGGGTGCAGTTGCCCCATTCAGGACCAGAGAGTCCCCCACACCCACCTGTACTTCTGTCTTGTCAGGATTCAACCTCAACCTGTTAGCCGCCATCCAATCCTCCAAATGTAAAATACATATTATATTACAACAATTTGTTCAATGAGAGTCATGGCTGGTGGTTTTAATTATTACATGTAAACCACCCAGGGAACATTCATTATTGGGTGGTCAATACTTGCATGCATACGTGTGAACTTTCAGAGGCATCTGGTTAGCCACCGCTGAGGAAAAAAAAGATGCATACTGTTCTATTTTAGTCTGATCCAATGTGTTTATGTTTGTCCATCCCTTCAGTGACTATATTATGTTGCTTCTTCTGGATATTTCCTTGGAGATAAGCTGACCCAAATTCACTGAGCTAGTCAGTGAGAACAAAGAACACTTCGTTAGCTCATTGCTTGTTATAGGTTTTTCCTTTTCTTCACAATTTAGTATCTCTGAGGCCATGTCCACACAGGATTCTCCAGAACCAAATTTGTGTTAACCAAATCTATACTGTGCCTACAGGGGACAATGTCAATAGGGGGCTTCCCGATGCCAGCTCTACAGCTACCTTACCAGGAATCTTCTCTTGAGCTAAAATGCTGAACCAAGAGTGGAAGAGGGTGTTGTTGTTTTTTAAAGTTTTGTAAATGTGCCTTTCAGCTTCTATTTTGCATAGCTCAGGTGTCAAGAGCCTTTGAGCCTCTGCTTCCCACAGTTTTCATGGGGAGAGGGTTGCCTTCACTGTGTTCCTCCTCTTTGCCCTCCAGTCTCCTAGGCACCCCAAGCACCATTGAGGAATCTGCTTTAGCCTTCTCATGTTTGCCTTTAAAGATTCCAAGGTTTGAATACTTTCGGGCAATCCCCATATCTCTCTACATCCCCTTGTGCTTTCCAAGTTCGGAGGGGGCCACATGATACATCTCTGTCGCTATGGTGCTACTTGCCTTGCTGCTCCCACCTGTCAATCTTACTTTCTGTTGCTCCAGTTGCTATGGCAACAAGAGTAGCAGCTCTTTAGCTCTTGGTGCAGAACGCTGGGCAGGCTGCTGCATCATTTGCCATAGATTGCCTTCGTTGCTTTGGAGCTCCAGTCCACCACAGCCCTCAGCACCTTCCAGTATGTATGATGGTTTCCTCCTGGGGGAGGTTGTGCTCACGACCCCAACATCACAGTTCTATAGAATCATGCCCCTCCTTGACTCACAAGGGGCTAATTCACAAGCTCCTACAACCAGTTAGCGTTGTTCCTTCAAAGTGTGCCTTACTGTGGTCCTGTTTGCATTTAATCCTACCTGTTATCTTACTGCTTAATTTCCGAGCTGCATAAAAGCTTTCAAAAGGACCACATAATTCTCTAAAGCTTAATGCTTTTGTGCTGCTGGCAAGCAAGGATTCATCCCTCTTCAAAACATCTCTCCCCAACAATTCTAATACTTCTGCGTGCTCGCTTACTACGAAATTCCTTATTGTCTTGAGTTGAGAGCAATTATTTGTTATTCTTCTTCTTTTCCTATAATTAACAGTGTTACTATTAAGAATTCTTCCTCTCTTTGCTAGTGTTGTCGGGCTTTCTTAATTGGCTTTTGTTTTTGGGGTGGTTCCACCAAATTTTGGAATTCCTTCTCTAAACACATGATGAAACTGATATCTTCTTTGACCTCTCTGTTTTAGGTAACAGAGAAAAATCCTTTTTCTCTCATGCCTTAAATGGCTTTTAAGATTTTTGGCCCTTTTTTGCTTTTCATGATTTTGATGTTTTGATTCAGGGATAATAGCCAATGTGGTGCCTGTGAAGGATGGCCAGACCCAACCATGTAGGGGAGCTCACTAGCAACAGGTGACCCATCCTACATATTTCTCTCCCGGCCACTTATTTGCCACCTGGCGTAAGGGGTGCAAAATACCTACTACCTTATGGTGGCTGTCTTGGGAGTAAGGGGACTGCCAGCAGAAATCCATCTCCTACCTGGCTATTTTAGCCCATCATCCCTCCTGCACTCCCAGGAACTTTAGACCAGTAGCATAGTCCAGTCTTAGTAACATGGGGGGAAAGATAGGCATTGAGTGTTTCCAGAATACAGTGTAGCTCAGAAATCCAATTAAGCAGTTTATTATGGAGGAGTATTTAAAAAGGAGGGAAAGTGGGGAAACAGAGAGTATGCACAGTACTGGCCTAGATGATCCTATCCTAAGCAAGCGAACATAGCAAACCTTACTCTTATGGTTATCATTCAAGTTGGTAGCTTCAGGAGCTGGTTGTGGGATAAGGGACAAAGGAATGTTAGCAATATGCTACTTTCAAGGGCTCTTGACCCAGGTGGGTTGTGATTGACAGATGGCTCCCAGCAGCTAATCAGAGACTACAGTAGCCAAGAAGGTTAAAAGTTGGGAGATGGGGTTGCGATAGTGTCAGTTCCTGCCACAGTGGTCTTTCTATCCTACCAGACCACAATCTGTCCTCAGCTTCTGCACTGGACTGGGGATGTCAGGGAGGTCTAGAGAACTTGAGTATCATCTAGAGAACTTGAGGTTAGGGCAAGGCATAACTTTGCCACAGTGACCTCCAGAAGTTGTTGAGCTACTGCTGTCATCTTTCGCCATACTGGCTGGGGCTGATGTAAGCTGGAGCCCAGTAAGATCTAGAAGCCACTACAATAGGCACCCTATTTTAATTCATTTTACCCGCTAGCTTTTTAGCTGTGTTATTTTCTCCTGCTGTTTTTATTGTTTTTATTGATTTTTAAAAAAATAAATAAAAAAGTTTTAATTTTGTATTGTAAGCTGCCTTGAAGCTAGATGTGGTAAGATGATGGTAGAAATCCTATAAGTAAAATAAAAGTGAGCTGTAAATGAGTATTTATTGAAACACACAAATAATATTTTATTCACATCTTGCTCATTCTGAATCTGACTTCTGTTGGGTGAGTTTGATTACAATGTAACGCAACAGAGGTCAGTAGAGAACCACTGGTATAATCATGTAATGGACAGTCTTCTAAAGTACTTCCTCTACAGTGGAGACAGGGATACCTGTAGCCAAACAGATACTTGTGGACTCCAACTTCTAAGAACCCCAGCTAGCATAGCCAATGTTCAGGGATAATGGGAGTCTAGCAACATCGTACAAGAGCCACAGGTTTCTTAGCGCTATCTACAGAGACGATTTACAGTACTAGGAAAATGTAGTTGATATAATCGATTTGGATCTCAGCCAAAAAAAGGAATTTTACTGCTTAAACTGGAAAGGATGGGTGAGAAAGGGGAATCAGACAAAGAGTTGTGCTGAATGTGAAGGGCAAGCGTTCAATCTGGAGGGATGGGGAAGGCCCATGGCATTTGCTTTGCATGCAGAAAGTCAGTCCCTGGCATCTCCAAGAAGGGCTGGGGGGAAGGAAATTCTGGTGATCCACTGTTAGTAAAGGTAGGGACCCCTGGATAGTTAAGTCCAGTCAAAGGTGACTACGGGGTTGCAGCGTTCATCTTGCTTTCAGGCCGAGGGAGCTGGTGTTTGTCCACAGACAGCTTTCTGGGTCATGTGGCCAGCATGACTAAACCGCTTCTGGCGCAACAGAACACCGTGACACGGAAACGCCATTTACCTTCCCGCCACAGTGGTACCTATTTATCTACTTGCACTGGCGTGCTTTTGAACTGCTAGGTTGGCAGGAGCTGGGACAGAGCAAAGGGAGCTCACCCCGTTGTGGGGATTTGAACCGCCGACCTTCCTATCGGCAAGCCCAAGAGGCTCAGTGGTTTAGACCACAGAGCCACCCGCGTCCCTCAGTAAAGGTGATACTGAGCTAGATGCACCAATGGTCTGAATTGGTATAGGGCAGCTTCCTGACAAGTGAACTTCCTCTGCAGTCACTATTGGGAGACACATTCCCTATTCATTATGGATCCTGAGGAGAAGAACAGGAGGTTACTGGTGAAATTTGTGAATGAGACCAAGCTCAGAAGCATTGTCATAGCAGGGAAGAATTGGGTGGTGATGTAGGATGAAAAAGAATAATAGAATTGCCATTCAATTCATGAATACAAAGTTTGGGGACAATATTTTTGTTTATTTAAGCAGTTGTATATCCTGCCCATCTATTGTAGTGAGTATAGCCAGGGTGGCTACATTGTCGGCTTTGAGACTTGAAAGGAGAGAGGAAGAAAGACTTTGAATGTTGGATAATCATAATGTGATTTACAAGCTATTTTTTTGGATGTGTTTGGCAGGTTTCTTTCCTTTTCTTGACTAAATACAGGGAAAATTTGATATCATGGTGTAAATCACTGGTGAGGTTGTATTTGAAATATGGTGTAGTGGTAAATTTTGAAGAACAGCAGCTCATTATGACTGGCCTTACAGCAGGTATAGGAAGCTTGTGGCCCTCCATATGTTATTCAACTGCAGCTCCCAGCATCCCTGTTCACTGGCCATGTTAGCTGGGGCTGATGGGAGTTGGAGTCCAACAACTTCTGGAGGGCCACAGGTTCCCCACCACTGCCCCATACTCACAAGGCTGTGTGCTTCTGCAGGTTCCTAGCTCTACTTAAGACAAGATAACCCATCTTACCATTCTCTGTAGCATGACTGCAATTCCATGCATAGTTACTTAGAAATAAGCTCCAATGAACTCACTGATGCTTATTTCTGACCATAGAGATTCAGCTTGTAAAACACAATGAGCTTTAATAACTTGTAAAACACATTGAGACAGCTGAAGTGCAACATTTAGCTTTTAATTAGAAAATCTTGCAAGGAAATTATACCACTTAAACCATTGGTATGAAATAGGAACACCATCAAAGAAAATGAAAGAATTTTAGAGCCTCTGCATGAGTATTCTCTGACTTCCTTACTGCTAAGTTGTCAAATGTAAAACTTGAAAGGCTCACCATCACCTCATTCTCTTCCTGGAGCAAGGAAAGTCGATCAATTGCCCTGGCATTCCGGGAGATGATGTCATTGCTCCTGCTCTGAAAAAAGGCCCAGAGCTGTGCCCCTGCCAGAGCACCACTGCTGCTGACAAGTTTTCACTGACCATGTTGAAGACTCTTGGCCATCTGTTCCAGAGCTTTGTCATTCTGTGGCTGGAGTGATGTAGCAGAGAATTGATATATGGCCAAAAATAATGCTTAAGGAATAGCATTTTGTGTGTGTGCCGGGAACAGTGAAAATAAATTCTCCTGAGATGGTGGCTGTTAAATGTGCTTGGCTGTATGTGGAGTTCTCTGTCTGCCCTGCTCCCTTCCTGCATGTAATGTTCTCCATTCGGATACGTGATTGAAGTTCAGGTTTACCTTCTGAGTAGACTGTAGTTTGCTGGAATACACTTTATTTAAGTTACTCTGACAATTTGTCAGACGGCAGGCCATATATTCTTTAACTACATAAAATGCAGAAACAGGTGTTTCATTTACAAGGAGAGCAGCCAGAAGCAAAAGGAGAGTGGGCTCCTGTAACCTTTAACAGTTAGAAGAGGGATGATCAGCAGATATATGTTTGCGATGATGCCATAGTGCCACAAGGCTGCTGAAGTGGGTGTTCTTTGTAACGCCTGTGCTGGAAGATCTGCACTATCTACCACTACATTACTAGGGCAACTTTAAGGTTTTGCTATGGGTATATAAAGCCCTGAGACGCGGGTGGCACTGTGGGTTAAACCACAGAGCCTAGGACTTGCCAATCAGAAAGTTGGCGGTTCGAATCCCCACGACGGGGTGAGCTCCCGTTGCTCAGTCCCTGCTCCTGCCAACTTAGCAGTTCGAAAGCATGTCAAAGTGCAACTAGATAAATAGGTACCGCTCTGGCAGGAAGGTAAACGGTGTTTCCATGCGATGCTCTGGTTCACCAGAAGCGGCTTAGTCATGCTGGCCACATGACCCAGAAGCTGTACGCTGGCTCCCTCGGCCAGTAAAGTGAGATGAGCGCCGCAACCCCAGAGTCAGCCACGACTGGACCTAATGGTCAGGGGTCCCTTTACCTTTACCTTTATATAAAGCCCGGAGTAATGGGTTATTTCTGGGAATACCATATCTTGCCTGGCCAATTTAATCCTTGGGGGAGACACTCTACTAGTGCTGTATGCTGTATGCTCCTCAAGTTTGTCTTATGCTCACTAAAAACAAGGCCTTTAGTGTGGTGGCACCTACCCTTTGGAATGTGCTTCCAGGGAGCATCAGGTAGGCACCTACAGTATTGGCATTGAGGCACTTGTTTCAAACACTTCTGTTCACCTTTCCTTTTATCCAGCTTCATTGATGTATTAATGTTATCTAGAGATTTGTGATGTCTTTTAAGCACACAAGAGCCTGCTAGATTAGCGCAGTGCCTCATCTAGTCCAGTATCTTGTTCTCACAGTGGCCTTGTTTTACAAATGTAGTTTCATGATTGATTTTATGCTGCTTACTGCCATGATTTTTTAAAAAAATGTTGACAGTATAGAAAATTTAGCCGATGAATAAAAGTGGAAAGGCTGTACTTGCCAAAAACTCTTTTTTGCACAGCTATTCAATGTACAGTCATACCTCGTGTTGCGTACTTTTGCGTTACGTCCCATGGCAACCCGAAAGTACTGGAATGGGTTACTTCCGGGTTTCGCCGCTCGCGCATGCACAGAAATGCTAAATCGCACTTCGCGCATGCGCGCCAAATCACGCTGCGCACCTGAGCAGACACAGCGCTTCGAGTTGCGGGAATTTCATCTTACGGATGGGCCTCTGGAACAGATCCCGTCCGTAACACGAGGTACCACTGTGCAACAGTCCGATCCATCTTCCCTTCTGGATAGTTCAGCTTCTTTTTCTTACAGGTTGGGAATAGCAGTGCTTACAGTTACCTTGTGAGGTTTTAGTGTTGCTTTAAAGAACAGTTGATCCTATTAGGAGCTATCAGTTGAATCCCACGTGACTTTCACACATAAAGCCATGCACTCCCATAAGTCGCACTTGAAATGCGCTGCAATGCAGAGAGCAAATCCTGTTGGCTTCATGACAACATGGACGCTGCTCCTTTGCCATGTGATGGGGATCCAAGCACTGTTTTGAGCCTGATACAAGAACAGCCCTATCATTTGATAGAATGAGGACAAATTTGGGGGTAGCATTAAAGGGGGAGGTGAGGGATGAATGGTGGCAAAATTTTCCCTGTGGTAGGAAATTTTTAGTAAAATATGGAGTGACACTTGCATTTTTTCCATCAAGCACCGACATGTTTTGGGTTGGCATTAGGTAGCTAGACACACACACACACACACACACACACACACACACTCCACATCCCAGCAACTTCCCAGATAATTTCATGTTAGCAGGGGTCCTAGTTGGGTGGGACTGCAATATACTTGGCACAGTAGTGAATCCAGCCCTGACAGGCCTTTTATAAAATAGTTTCCTGAGACAAGAAGAACTCAGTACATAGCAGGAAACATCAGCACACGCAAATTCTTACCCCTTGAGAAAAGTAGAAAGCAGCAATTCCCAGAGGCCAGAAACAACAGAGCATTGAAAAAATTGCCAAGCCCAGGTGGTCTCGTGGGGGAAGCATCAGAAAATGATCTTCACTCTCGCTGTCACTGGAGGAGTCACTCTGGAAAGCAAATCAAGGCAATGGCACACTGTAAGTCTGACCCACAGAGTATTCAGCAGCAGCAGAACATGTAATCAATTTACACTACACATGTTTGATGTTGCTGCTGTGACAACACTTTCTCTCCTGATATATAGCAGCAGGCAGATGAACTTCATGGGGCAGGAAGCGCTGTGAGGGGAGTGTCGGCGGGACGAGTCCATCACACATTCAAGTGATACAGAGTCAGCCTCTATGAGCTAGGATGTTTATCTGCCAAGGAACAGCGGCTAATATGAATGATCTTTTGGGAACTGGATGTCCAACAGAGATGATATACAGGGCACCACCTCAATCATCACCATACTTCCCCGTCTTCAGACTGAAAATACTTGATGTCTATTAGGCAGCAGATGTACTGCTTAGTATGCTGATTGAGAATAATCTTCTTGGCTTCAGTCCACAAACCATTTAATCTGGAGTGGTCTGGCAGGTATTTCATAGACCTCAGTAGGACTTCAGTGAGACTATTGGGAGTAAGAGACTGGTGGTTTTCAGCAATCTATGCATTACTGGCATTCTATATGTCTATATGTATCTTGTCTTACAACATGCTTATCCTAAAACACAACATCAAAAAAATGTGCAACTGATGAATGCACTTGGAAATCTAAACAAATAATCCATACAAACATAATTGAGCTGGATAAATAAGATGGATGGTTAAATAGGAACCCTAGAGGAAGCTGGTATCCTCATTATGCCAGCTCAACAAAGATGTCCTCAAATCACTTGTTTCAGAAGGGAGCCTTAATTCTAATGGGCTTTTCCAGGGTAAGACTATTGAGAATTTGAATCTGTCACATTCCCTGAATGACTATGGGAATTACTAAGATTGACAATTAAGTCTGGCTGTGCCAATCCTGCAAATGGAAATTACTGGTACTTTAACTACCCAGCTATGAATCAAAAGAATAATGAAATATGTAGGCATGGGGTCCTCAACCTTTTTGGGCCCAGAAGCAAAATTGGAGGTTTAAGAAACTATTGTGGACGCCACAAAATACCCCATTCCAAAACATTTATCCTCCCCAACTCACCTGCCCCCACGGAACAGTATCCAACTCGCTCGTACCATAAGAGCAAGGATTGCAACAAGTGCAACTGAATTCCCCACTTCCTCTCCTGTGCAGTCCCTAAATCTGTTCTGGGTTTCCTCCAAAACCTCTGGAGCAGATTTGGGAAGGGTACCATACAAGGCATACACAGGGTGGGGGGCAGTTCCATTGTACAAGTGGAAATCCTTGCACTGATAAAAACAAGTTAGAAGAACAGCATCCAAAGAAAGAAAGCTACACCCCCTAGAAAAAAAAACAGGCAAACCCCCGACCACCATCCCAACACCCCACTTAAAAGAAACAGTAAAAAATGGGAGTGGCAAGGTGCCTTGATGGGTGCTAAGGGGTGTGTGTCTGAGGGTGCTACTCTGTCCATCAGCACCATGTTGAGGGCCCCAGATTTAGACTGACAAGTTGACATGGAGAAGTTCTGAGATTAAAGGATGGTTGGATTCATGGCTATATTACCAAATTGCCATAGAAAGGATACAGTTACTATTGATACTACCAGGGAGATCCCCAGTATTATTATTATTATTATTATTAATAATAATAATAATAATAATAATAATAAATTTTATTTATGTCCCGCCCTCCCCAGCCGAAGCTGGGCTCAGGGCGGCTAACAACACTAAAATAGTGCAACATTCTAAAAACATTAAGAATGGGAGACAAGTCTTGAATACCTTTTAGATTATTTCTGAAAAACTGAAACACCAAGACTTGTCAATTTAAATCAATGGAGATACTGGCATATACTTATAGCAAAATGGAATAAACATCTGATTTTTTTGTGTCCTATCCCTTCTGGAGCTACTTCCTGATAATGTCGGAGGCGATGCCTCAACAAGAGGTATCTCTCCCGATAAAGCAAGCCGTTCCCAAGTGCCACCTTGGGACCAGATGATAAAGAATTGCAACTGTTTGATTTGTACTATACTGCCGGCTGCCGTTGCTTTATAGCTCAATCCCAAGCTTATTCACTTGGAAGAAAGTTCCATTCATTTTAATGGAAGTTGCTTTCAAGTTAAGTGTGCTTAAGGACACTTTCGTTATTAAATAACTCAGTGTGAAATAGTAACCCAGAAAGCTGCAATATAATAATAACAGTGATGATGCTGGAAGTGATGATAATAATAACAGAAACCGTGTTAGAAGCCCCCAGTCACTGCTGTCAGCTCCAGCCCTTGATGCGAAGCAATAGGCGTCCTACTGATTTCTCTCTTCCCTGACCGAAAGCTGCTTCTGCCAACATTGTCTTGATATAATATTTCTAGGACATCTATCACCACCATGGCATTTAAGTAGCATTTTTCACCCTCCTACTCTTCCTCTCGTTAAGTATTTTACAGTCTTCCCTCACTCCCCACTCTCTCATTTGACCTTCTTCTTTTCAGCTCTACTTTCACATATTCTCCTTCTTAACAGTTTCACACAGGAGAAGAAGGGCGGGGGGAAGGCTTTGCAGAGTTTATATAATAAACCACATCTTCTCCAGCCACTCGGACGTGGGGCAAAATCCTAACAGAAATCACTGCGTGGAAATAGATTATCGTTTTTCTTTCAAGCTAAATTCTCAGCTCACTAGCTGGGGATTTGGGATTTCCATGGAAAATTATTTTTCTTGAGTGCCAGTGAAACAGGGCCGTTTTTCATCTTTAGCAATGTCCCTCGCTTGCATTAGGACTAAAATTGATAAATTGTGAGCTAAAATGGATTAGAAATTCTGGATGTGAGCCTAAAACAAGCTTATTAAAATAATTCATTCTAACTACACACCTCTCTATAATTATTTCTAGTCGTATTATTCTTAATGTATTATATTATGGTGGAAAACCCTTTTTCTTTTGAGAGGGGCATTCTCTTTGGGGTAATCTGTCAGGGGCTGCATGGCAACTCTGGGTGCAGCTGAAGTCAGTGATGTGTGGGGCCAGAACCAAAAGAAGGTGTGGTTCCCCCCCTTTCTCATCTTGCCAGGAGGTCTGAACTGATCGCTTGCAGAGGGTTTTTGAAATCAGGCTGAGGGCCACCTAAACTTAGGCTGAGGCCTAAGACCACAGTTGCTCACCCCTGCATTAAACCCTCAGGCTTAATTCCTCAGAAATAAGGGAAGCTGTCTCTCAGGTGTGAGAAGTTCCCATGCAACATTTACCTCAGTTCTTCCTACTATCATGTACATACATCACAATTATTATATTTTCTATATTTACTTCTCTGTCCTAAGCATGGTTACTCAGAAATAAGTCCCAAGATAGGTTCACAGCCTCCAAAATTTACCTCATATTCTTGCAATTCCTCCTCTTCCACTTCATAGGACACTGTCTGGATTTTGATGTCATTTTCCATCAGGGACCTCCCTTGGGTTTCTTGCATATCAGAGGCCTCAGCAGGATGCTCTTTGTTTCCCATGAAGGCTGTCTCACAACTCTCACCTTTGTTGTCCTTGACTTTGACACTGGTCTCATCCTTCACCAGGATGAAATTTGGGCCGTACAATGCTTCAACAGCCAGCTGAAGAGAACTGGCATCCAGCAGTTGGTGAGTCCTCGCATTACCAGAATTTTGGAAGATATAGGAGTACAGTTTACCCTGGCAACGGTGGCCAGGATAATCCTGGTGGTAACTGTAACTGCCATGAAGGTGTCCATTGTTCTTGGCCAACAGGGGATTCTGGAGTTCACTCACACTTTCCATTTTGCTGAAAGCTCAGTGTGAGGTGCTTCTAAGACAGATGGATGACAGAGAACAAACAACCCTGAAGAACAAATGAAAGAAAAAGGAGGCAGAATTAGGGGGCACATAAAATATAGAAACTTGTTAAGTCAGGTATAGGGAGACTGTGGTCCTCCAGCTGTTGTTGGAGTCCCATTAGTCCCAGCCAACATCTCTAGTGGTCAGGGATAATGGGCGCTGTATACCAACAACATCTGGAGGGCAACAGGCTTCCCATCCCTGGAGTAAGTGGTTCAAGAGCAATAACTGTGTAATGTTAACTAGCATTGGGGCATGTCTGTGTTGATGGAAATACTGGGATTGAACTCATAGATAAATTCCAGCATGCACCTTGACTCAGAGAACCTAAACTATAGTACTTTGAGGGAAAGTTGATGGAGATCTTTTTCAGATGTGTGCTGAAATTTTGGGAGTTTTTGCAGTCAAACCTAGCAATGCATATCTAACCCATTCATTAGGAAATGAAGGGATTAAGGACCACAGAGCTGTAAATTTCTAGAGAAGGCATGGCTAGGTCACAGCCCCTCACCCTCAGGGAGGGAGGGAGGGAGGGAGGTTTGTTTCTCCTTCCTTCCTTCCTTCCTTCCTTCCTTCCTTCCTTCCTTCCCCTCTCTCCTCTGTGAACCATGTAACTGAGAAGATGTCTGAGGCTGGGGTTTCAGTTTGAGACTATGTGTTTGAGGCCAACTTCTGTATTTTGTAACCAAGAATGCCTTACCTGTGTTGTTTCTGCTGTAGCACTGAATGATGCATGAGTGAGACTTCTGATTACTGTAAGTAAAGCATTTAAACTTACTTAAGGTTGTAGTCCATCCATTCTGGGAGGGGTAGAGGAGGGGAGAACACAGTTGTGAGTGCTGAATACTGGGAGACCTAAAGGTCTTAACAATCTATATCTATGTGAAAATCTGAAAAGTTGGCTGTTAAAATGCTGTAGTGGAAAATGAAATCTGCAATGTACTGTACTGAAACCATCCAAGTACTAAAGATCTGGACTGTGTGCTATATAGCACTTGGATAATTGGGCAATCAGAAAATCAGAAGAGCTCAGCGATGAGAAACAGGAGCTCACTATGGACATGCCCTGTTTTTGATGGTAAATGAAAGCATTTGGCTGTGCTACTGTCCACAAATTCATGTACAACTCTCCACAGCCTGCCAAAATATGGCTTGAAACTGCCTTTATTTGAGTCTTCTTGTCAAGAATCATTGTGGCAGGTAGTAAGATCAGACTATGAACCATGTGATAAGATGAGAAGGTCAAAGCCATCATGACGGTTAGCATGTGTTGAGCGCTGCCCTTTCTCCTTGGCAGCTTGAGAAAGGGAAGGAGAATCTGATGTAAATGCGCAGTGTATTCTTCATGCTGGGTCATAACTTCCTGGAGAACTACAGTGAATAACAGATGGCCCTGGCATAGACCTGAGGTTGGCATCCCCTGCAGAAACCCTCCTTGCATTATAAACAAGCGGGACATGCTGTGAATTACAGCCCTTTCATTTGTGAGTGATGCCAGTAAATGTAATATATTTTGCATGCTAAAAACCACCACACACAAAACTCCAGCAAGAGTTCTGAAGCTCGCAAGGTGAGAGTGGAAATAATGAGAATGAAAAAAGAAACCTGAAAGGCTGTTTGCTATGGAAGTACTATCACCCATATGGGATCTTGTCTATGCAGTTATATTTTTATATCTAGTGCCTAGGACGCTACCATACTGAGTAAGACCATTGGGTCCATCTAGCTCAGTATTGTCCACACTGATTGGCAGCACCTGTCCAGGACTGCAGACAGGGTTCTCTCCTGGCTCCATCCAGAGATGCCAGGGATTGAGCACCACTTACTAACAGTGCAGATGTGTTACAGAAAACTAACAGCCCCCCTTATTCACTCCCACTTTGGGCCTGTGCTCTACTGCATCACTGAAACCACTGTATCACATACCATCATGTAACATCATTCAATCCTCAGGGGGTGCAGTGGGTCAGTGCGAACAGCCAGGGCCGTCTTTAGCAGATGTGGTACTGGGGTGCAAATATCCACCCAGCACCCCCAAATTACCATGGATTGTGTTGGTCTAGATGACTCTCAGGGTCCCTTCAAACTCTACAATTCTATGTTTCTATGTCTGGGTTTGTGGTCAGGAGGCAAAACTGGCTATCAAGGAGACACATGGGCTGGGCCACTCCCAAACCACCTCAGGCAGCCTGCAGCTGGTCCTGCAACACACCTCGCAGCCTTATTGCTATGGAATCCTACGAGTCCCTTATATCAGTTGATTCCAGCTGAACTGATGGTTAGGAGATATTGCAGCTATCCATACTGGCGATGCTACAGTTCCACAGAGAGCAGGTCAGCAGCATTGCCTTCTAGCAAGTTGATATAGCAGTGCAAAGATTGTATAGAGGCATTTCTGCACCGCCACTGACCTCGCTTCAACACAAGCAAAGTGTTGATCATTCTTCCTCCATGCAACTAACTGTTGGAGGTTTCCTCCTGCCCTCAGCTGATGTTTTTATCCCCCCCCCCCGAATCTCACCAATGCTCCTGCCCTTGACTAATGTTTTACTTCATTTCCCCCCTGTATCTGATACAAGTCCCCCTGTGTCTTACTCATTAAGTTGGTGGTATGTGATAGAATTTCTAGTTCATATTACTTTATTGACTGAAAGTTTGAAAGCAGAGCTTTTTTTGGGAGGGAAATGACATGAAATATCTTTGATGCAATCAACAATTTTCCATAATATTAAACTACCAATCCATCTAACAATTCTACCTGTTAGCTCCTGTCAATTTTTATACAGAAACGTTAGGGGAAACCCAATGAAAATATTGTACAACCCTAATATATACACAAGAGCTTTATATCCTACTTCATTAAAATCAATGAACGTGTTGCTGTTATCCTCAGCTAGAGCAGGATTGCATCTGATAATGCCTCTGCGTATTTATACACATATGAACTTGGAATAGTCTATTAACCGACTAATATTATACTGTGATATTTGCAGGGATATCACACTGCCATGCCATCGTATGAGAAAGAAGGGAAGGATAGAGATGAGGACAATTAATTTTATGTAAATGTAAATTATATTTTGGTGAAGCAATGTTCAGTGAAATCACTTATCTGGGGGATATGAATCCAGCAATGAATATAAGACATTTGTGAGGAATGCCTCTTGTTCAAACAAATTTTTATATTTTCGCAAAGTCCTCGAGAGCTAGTTTTATGACAATTTTCTGCCAGCGTTATCTTAAATTGAGATGGATGGGGAAATTCGTGAGTGAACTGAAGCCTGCCTGAAGGACTGATAAAGAGCAGCACGCAGAGCTGGCAAAAGGGTTCTGCTAAGCACAGCAGGTTTCAACATTCTGTCTGCTTTTACTAGAGAACTTTGTTAATGGTCTTTTAAAAAAAGAAGACGGATAAAACACAAATTAATGAACACGGTTCAGATGAAAGTATATTACACAGAGTCGCACTGAAATTATCCCGGTGGCTGAAGAAAATTAAAATATTACCAGACGATTTTGATTAAACAAACTCAGGAATGGGGAGCGTAAAACATTGGGGGGAAGGAATCATCGGAGCCAAAAGCCTACATGAGATTGTACTGAGGCATTTCTGCACTGCCACAAACCTCACTTCAACACAAGCAATGATTATCCTTCCTCCAAGTAACTAACTGTTGGAGGTTTGCTCCTGCCCTCAGTTGACTTTTTTTAAAAAAAACATTTTTTATTCATTTTTACCTTTAACAAATATCATCACAACTAAATCACATACACACAGGATTCTCTGAATCCCCGGACTTCTCTCCACCCTTCCATGGTTTCCATCATTATTCATTTCCAACTGCATCTTATAATGTTCTCCATATTTTCTTAAAACTTAATTCACATCATAGTTCTAGCTACATTGCAAGTGTTTTTTAGAATCCTGCCAATGTTTTTAATTGTTTTCAGTGTTCTTTTAAGTGTTGTTGTTTAGTTGTTTAGTCGTTTAGTCGTGTCCAACTCTTCGTGACCTCATGGACCAGAGCACGCCAGGCACTCCTGTCTTCCACTGCCTCCCACTGCTTCTTTTAAGTAATTTATTAATTTCCCCTATTCTTTATTAAATTTATTATCTTCTTGATCTCTAATCTTCCTGGCCATTTTCGCCATTTCGGCATAGTCCTACTATGCCCTCAGCTGATTTTTAATCTGGTACCTGTATCTGGTACTAAAGGCCTCACCAAATGCACTTCCGGGGTGGCGCCATCGGCAATGGCGGACTCCCTCTGATCTGGAGGGACTAGCTCCACGCGAAACGGGTCTTTTCCGCTACGGCGAAGCGGGGACCCTTTAAAAAATCATAGGCGGATGAAGCCTGTGACCATGGGACTCAGCGGGCACCCTTAGCGCCCCCCAACCCGCAAAGGAACCCACTAACGGGCTCCGAAGCGAAGAGGGGGAAGTGGCGCAGTGCTGAGAGTCAACTGCTTCTTCCATGGAGCGAAGCCGCACAGCCGTTGCCGGAGAGCGCTGCCTTTTTCCTGGGACATTTTGGCTTCTAAAATAATCACCCGTGAGTACCTAAACTCGGACAATTGGACTTTAAATGAGGACTTGTGAGCAGAAAGGAAAATTGGACTTAAAAGTTTACCTCAATTTGGCACTGAAACGGGAAGGTCTAAACAGGAAGTCAGCCTTCCGTTTCTTTGTAGATAGACTAAAGCAAAGACATGGCAAACTAGAGCTCAGAAAATCGCCTGTAAAAGATTAACTTTCATCATTTAAAATTGTTGAACCCCCTTCGGAAGCAGAAGAGGGGGGATTTTTTTTGGACTGTTTAAACCTGCAGAAGTGAGGGTAAAGTAAAGTAACTTTCCACCGTCCTGATCCTGGAGCGGGGTGTTAGGACTGACGTTTTTTTTGAAGCTCATTGACCAGAGACAACGTTTTTGACAGATAGC